GACAGAGAGAGTCTAAAAAAGGATTTGGTACTGAAGATAAAGAAAAGGGACTAAAACTCCAGACATAACTTCAGCAGTATGTAAGCAATATTAAAGGCCAACCAATCCTGAGCTTAGCTTTTGCAATATGTATGAGCTTATTACACATGTTATAAAATGACTGCCTTATAGATAATAAATCGAACGCGCTAATTGATCGTGAGGTCGTTGTGTGTTCCTCCGTTCCCACATCATGATGTAGATCTGTATGAATAAGGCCAACTGTTGTCTGTCATTGGTTGTCATTTCATTTCTTGGTTTCACTAAGTGTGCTTCTCCCATACCTTCAGGGGAGTTTTGATGCTGGAGGGAACTGTCCTTTCCCCTTGCACCTTGTTTCTTCAGTTGAATATGAAAGTGAGCAATTGTCAGTGTTAGTCACAATTTGAAGTGTTTTTCAGGAACCCAGGAAGGACACTGTTCTATGTGTTTCTAACAAGGTGGAGTTGGGCCCTTCTTGTTATTTTATGATTAATAAAGTCTTTCAAGCAATTCTTACTTTGCTGTTAGAACTAAACCTTTAAAAATTCATCTGTGATGTTAGTCTCTGGAACACATGGTGGTGACAATATTGAGAATTAGTAGAGAATCTTCATTTTTATTTAAATATGGAAACAGAAGTCTAGTTACTAATCATGCCTCTGGTTATGTCTGACTCTGTGCAAGCCAGCATGTATCTCCAGTCTTCACATCTGGTTTTTCCACAGCTCATTTGTATAATTTAAGTAAGTATGAGAGCTCAGGCTTCAAATATGCTGCTTATTTTTTGTAATAAGTATAAACTGATGAAGTATATATATATATATGAGGTTTATGAAGGAAGTAGCATGTACAGTTTTTAACAGTATAGGGCTGATAAAAATAATAGCAGTTTGGTGAAAGTAGCACTGGAGTTTGGTTTCCTCAGGCTTTCATTCATGATGACTCATCCCCATGGGCTCCCTGATGCCTTGCTGCAGGGCAAGGAGGAGCCCTGTCCGTGTCTCATTTACCTTTTTACCTTAAGAAAATGTGTTAGAAATTATTTATAGCAATGCTTTTTTCAATTTCAGTATGAGTTGTGTAGTGAGTGTTTAAAAACCAGTCTACGGCATTAGTTATTTAAAACAGAGTCAGATAATGTATTCTTCTGAACTGTGCTTAATGAAGATGGCTATGAGCCCTGTTACAGTGAAATGGAATGTTTCAATTGGTGTAGAACTGCATGTGCTTACATGCAGAATATGTGACTTGGGTAACCTGCAGTGTCAGATATTCTATGGCTGTGTAAGTTTGTATTATATATAGAAACAGTATGTTCTTCAAACATCTGCTCATATTCAGCATATGGACAAGCATGTATACTTGTGCACTGTAAGTAATCAAGATCATATATGTCTTGCCCAAGCAGTAACTCTTTGTTTTAGTTGCTGTTCCCTGCTAAAGTGTATTGTGTGGTCCTAGTTCCTCTTGCATGGCCTTGGCAAGATGAAGTGCCTCCATCCTCTCTGGATTGCTGTGGAGTTGTGGGTTATCAGCTATCCTTAACAGGTGACTTATTCCTAAGGTGTCTGAAGAATGCTGTTCCCTTCACGTGTTCTTGTCATCTTGGCAGTTTCCCTTGAGCTCTGTGGAATTCATTCCCATTTGAATGCGAGCTGAAGATGGTTTATAAAGTAACAAAACACCAAAAAACAGAGGAAGCCTCATCATCCCCAAGCTGTATTTGCCTGTCAGAAAGGAACTTTCAGAACAGTTTCCTTACTCAGAAACACCTTTTTAGTCATCTGCTCTGGACTTTGAAAGATATTTACCCAGCACTGTGTGTTCCATCCCATCTGCCAAGGAGATGATTCTTCTCCAAGACTCCTAGTTGCCTCTGCTAGCATTTGGATTGGTAGTGGCTGCTGCACCATCCATAGGGGGTTGCAGGGAAGCATAATCCTGCTGGTTCTACAGCTCTCCCAGTCGTGCTGCTTTTTTTGTCTTTGGTGCCAGAGCTCCGAGCTCACCTGCATGAGGTGGGGCAATGTTTCATCTGTAGACAGTTCATCTTGGATTATAGGTTTTTTATTTTTTGGAGCCTTCACGTTACTTCTGGTGGCCTTGGGTTTCCACACTGATCTTAACAATGCATCTGGTATGGGCCAGAGTTGGCTTCGAGTCCTGCTAGAGACTTTGGCCCAGGGTTTTTCACTTGGCTTACCTGTACCTCCATGTCCATACAGCCACAGGTTGCAAGAACTTCTTGTAGCTTCAGGAATGTTGAGAATCTGGATGTTTTTAATGAGCATGGCCATTCCTTCTGCTCAGAATGAATAAGTGGAACATGGAATGCAATTCTCCAGAGACCTTATGGGAAAAATTGCTCAGCTTTGGCTCTTCAGTATCTTTGGCATGTGAATCACTGTTTCTTTTTGGATATACTCCATTATCTGCAGGCAATTAAAATTACTCTTACCATAAACTAGGCTACCGTGGACCTGGTTAAAGATCTACAGTAGGCTTCTGTGTCATTGAATCCTTCTGGCCTTTGAGCAAATAGAACCATCAGGTTTTCTGGGGAATTCTTATTCTGACGTTATGTCTATGACTCTGCAACTAATGTTCAGCAGTTTAAAGGCAGATGGAAAAAGCAAACAAAACCAGAATCTTGAAAGACTAGATCTTGCTGGTTTAAAAACCAAAACACAATTAAAACTGGCAAGTCTCCCAGGATT